AAACTGCAACAACGATCCTTGGATACCAATAACAACTTGCGAATGCTTAGGACTGAAATCAATATCATACTCATCCTCCTCCTCTCTGTCCTCTTCATCCTCATCTCCCTCTCTTCCATATCCCTCTGCACCAGCTCCTCCTCCTCCTCCTGCCTTGTCCTCTTGCATCACAATATGGGCATCATCAACACATCGATTATACTGCTCAATAAACTCAAGTGCCTTCAACGCAAACTGAACTGCATACACACGATCTGCCGCTGATGGCGTATACCCCTGCTGCACATGTCCCGGCACCGCTGTCCTCGTTTCAAATCGATTCTGGGCATTTTCCTTAATTATATCACCAATCAACTCCGTCGTGTACACACTTGACGCCTGCTCATTACGGATAATCAATTTACCATTATGGTCCTCACCACGATCACTTTGAAACACTTTAAACAAAAGATCAATATCACGCTGCAACTCCTTCAACGTGATTCTAGTCTCTGGCGTATATGTAGCCAACGCACCAGTGATTAATCCACAGTAAGCGGCAACGAATCCGGAGTGTCCTCCTTGTACTTCAACCACAAACACTCTTCGACGACTCGATGAGGCAGATTGTTGAACGGCATCGCAATACGTCACCAACTCATTCATACATGTGTCTGAACCGAGCGAATACTCAGTTCCCGGAACATTATTTGAAATGGTTGCTGGAATGACAACCATGGGGATTTTGAAAATTGGATAATTATCACGTTGGTCATGCAACTCATGCAACGCCGTGAATGCCTCAAACCCACCCACAATCAATAGTCCTTGTATATTGAATTTTTGCAAATAGTAAGCAACTTCACCAAAATTTTGCGATGGCAAAGACCGATTGGTTCCAATCTCACTTCCACCCCTACTATGCCACCCTTCAACATCCAACCAGTTCAATTTCCGTAATTGGCCCTTGACCAAACCTGAAAACCCATTGGTCACCGCATACAAGGTGTGTCCGCGAGATATACTCTGCAAAGCAAGTGCCCTAGTGGCGGCATTCAACCCAGCAGAAGCGGCACCAACATGCACAACAGCAATATTTAATCTCCGATCTTCTGCCAACTGCTTCGATCCATCATCGAAAGTCGTGATCGATTGGTAATACTTGTAAGACTCGGCGAAATTGGCATCTCTCAAGCTCATGGCTTTATCGAAATCCTTATTTTTAATGGCAGTGGCAACCGCCTTGGTGTGCTCAACTGCATCCACTAATGGAGTACGCACAATCTTGTGTTTCACGATACCAATCATGGGGGACGGAGTATCTGGAGTCATGTCCAACACTGCGCGAACAGCTTCAACCCCTTGCAATGTGGCCAATCTTCTATCAATGGCAACGGCAGTGCCTCCTCTTTGCACATGGCCCAAAATTGTGATTCTTGTATCTAATCCAATTTCAACCAATACTTGCTTCACCTGCTCCGAAGTAATTGGATTCAACTCATCATCAATAGCCCCTTCAGATACAATAACCGTAGTCTTTCTTCTACCATATTCCCTATGTCTAGCACAAATTTCCTTCAACTCTTGTTTCCATTCACCAGCTTTTGGTGGGCGTTCAGGTATGAATATGTAATCGGCACCCGTGGCCAACCCCGACAAGAGTCCCAACCAACCACAATGTCTACCCATCACTTCAACCACAAAAGCTCGTGAGTGTGATGAAGCCGTTGCATCAATGTAATCAACCATTTCTGTGATTCTTGATAATGCAGAATATGCCCCAATTGTGACATCAGTTCCCGACATATCGTTATCAATAGACCCCACCAAACCAACAATAGTAAGATGCTGGTATGGCTTAACTTGCTCCGCTGTCAATTTCCCAGTCTTGACCAATTCTTCAATCAATGACAGCCATTCGCTTCTAAACAAATCAGCTCCAGTCAAGGATCCATCACCACCAATCACAACCAATGCGTCAATACCATTGACAACCATATTATATGCCGCTTGTAATCTTCCTTCGCGCTCTCTAAACTCCTTGCATCTAGCAGTCCCAATAGCAGTACCACCAAGAGATAAATAAGAACGCACATCGGACCAATCCATCTGCTTCAACAAGTTGCCACCTTTAACCAACCCTTCGTACCCTTCATACACGGCATACACATCACATCCATAGTATATACCCGCACGCACAACTGCCCTGACTGCAGGGTTCATTCCTGGCGCATCACCTCCTGAAGTCATGACAGCAATCTTTTTCTTCTTGCCCCCTTCAACAAAAGGTTGTTCTTCGTCAATGACTAAATCAATCTCCGACTTGAGTTGCTTCTTGTGGGTATTTTTCAAAATTGTGGCCTCTGCGTCAGTGATAAACTCTTGCGCTGAATGATACTGTTTCAGCTCCAATACGTTTCTCGTGTTTGAAAATTGCAAATAATTGCCCAATGGGTCGCGAACATGAAACCCATGATCATTATCAGTCTCCAACTCAATACGGCTCTCCTTCAACAATCCCCTTACCTTCTTCAAATCAGTACTGAAAAAGATAAACCTCTTTTCGGTACCGGGCTTCAATTGCTCCTCATTCGACAATCGAATCTTGATCACAGTAGTATCAGTCAATCTCTCGCAATTATCACCACTATACACCCTCATTTCCTGCCACGGACGCAAGTTCCCATTCTCGTCCAATTCCTGCAACGGGTACGACTCGAGCCATACTTCGCGCAACGAATCTTTCGATACACCAAGCTGCATTTGCGGCTTGTATGCACCTGATACTCCTCCCGCGCCTCCATCTGTAGTTACCCTTGAGAAATTCTTGGTCAATCTGAACCCCAACTTGGAGTAGAATTGGTACAGTTGCAAAAACTTGTCGTGATTGGACGTGATGAGCGAAACGTAGCTCAAGCGTTGGATGTTTTCAACGTCGGGCATGATTTAGAGAGGATAGTTGTAGTCTCAATGGTAGTTGGCAATGTCAATGAACTTCTTACTCACGAGTTGATGATGCTTCTTTTGGAATTTATCTTTTAAGAGATATTTTATATGGGTCGAAATTGGCAATTGATATAAAAGGGGATCATATGTTCGGACTACACTCATGGGTTTCAAAAATTGCGCCTAAGTATTAAAAAGAAAAAAAAAAAAAAAATATATATATATATCACATTCGGTACATAATACACGACTTATACAGTTTCGGAGCCAAGATTGCCGAGCTACTCACCACCAAATACTGACCCCATCATTTTTTACACAAACAAAGCAAAACGATGTGTTTCCTATAGTGACGTAATCAATACAACAAGTTCAACAAGAATAATTACAAGGGCCAGTACTGTAAATCGATTGCCAACTCCAGAATGAATTCGGTGACCACTAGAGTCTAAGCCATAGTCCGGACCTTTGTGATGTTGATGAGAATGATGATGGCGGTGGTGGCGGTTGTGGTGCTTCTCCTCTTCGGGGAATTGAATAAAGTTCGTTTGCACAGCGCTCGTGGTGGATTTGATCACTCTTGCCGACTTGGGCAGGCTCGAAGTTCGTGTGGATGTGGAGTCTGTAATAAATTTGGATTTGGAATCCTTTGACTTGGGCTTCTCTGTTTTGTGATATTCTGGTTGAGACTTCTCTGACTTGGGCTTCTCCGTCTTAACTTGCCTCGTTGGTTTGGCATTATGAATAAGTGTTGTGAAATGAAACTCAGTTGACATCACTGAAGTAGTTGCAAACCAAGATTCAGTAATCAACGCCAACTTTCCCCCATCTGGTTTCACAGTCGGTGTAGGAGTCACGACTTCCTTGTGCTTTACCTGATCAACAGGCAACGTAGGAAACGCAAATTCAATCGGATGCCTACCACTAAAATCAGGCTCGTATTGTTTTTCCAGCTCGTTAGTAATTGTTGCATAATCCGACAACTTTGTCAGCGGAGCTGACCAAGAAGGTGACCAAACTCGTTCGTGAGGAACCGTCCAGTCCCCATGTCTTTCTTTTGGCACGGTGAAATCTTCTGTGTAATCAGAAGGTGGGGGTATTAATAATTGGGGCTCCCCAGGCACCACGTCCCCCTCCTCATCCTTGAGCCCTTCTTTGAAAATCTCGCCATTCTTGGCAACCAAGTCCACCCATTCCCCATTTGGCAACCATCCGTAAGAATAAGTGTCTCCGGTCGAGTAATCACTAACTTTCAAATTCCTCACATTCATAGTAAATGGACCATCTTGGTAATTAGTAAGACCTTTACTCCAAGCAATAGTCCCTTCGTTTTCCGTATCCTCTCCCGCCCATAAACTAATTTTAATCGCCATGGGAGAAGTGGGGAATCCTTGCTTGTTTTCGCGACGCAATTGACGCACAGGTTGATCGTCCAAATACCACACAATCTTGCTGGGTGTCCACATGACGCCATACTTGTAATACTCCTTCAAGGGGCTAATTTGTAGTTTGTGATATCTCTCTCGGTCATAAGTGGTGACATTCCCCTTGATGAAGTAGTTTGTTTGATAATCAAATGGGTCGCCGCCCAAGATTTCAGCAATATCAATCTCGTCCAAGTCATCACTTTGCAAGTAAATAGAACTCACAATACCACTACCAAATGCCCCCTTTATTTGTGCCTCAACTTTACCATACATGATGTAGAAATTAGACGTCAATGCCGGATTTTCAAACTTGTTCTTTATTGTCAATTGCATGCCATCGTCTTTGAAATTGATACCTTTCCTGCTACTAGTGATGGAGAAATGTTTGGATCCATTCGAAAAGGGTTCATAAATTGATGTTCCCAATGCCACATTGTTCACCAAACAAAACTTGTCTGCGTTGGGATTGCACACCACGGGGCAATAATACTCAGACATCAAATCGTCACCAAGACCATCATCACTGAGCAGATCAATCATGGTGTCCAGCAGTGAATTACCACTCAAATAATTGGTCCCGCCATTGCCAGCGTCAACCAGAAGGGCTTTGTCGAAAATGAGACAACACGTAATCAAGAATGCAATTGAAAACATATAGCACAATTATCAGTATGAAAGAAAAGCATCAGTGAAAAATTCACATCGAGATAGAAATCACCCCAATACTTTATACTTTATACTCTATCCCATATTGCCATCGCAAATGTGTGGAGTCATCAATACGATAGTAAGTCTCACAGAAAAAGACTCTCCATGGGAGACCATTCAACAGATCAAAAAAACCGTCAAAATTTAGGACAAAACAAAGGGAAAACGCGTCTCAGCATAACAATTTTTCTTTTCTGTCTCCTCAGACACACATTTTTCACCTGTTGTTGCCCCCCTCCCCCCCCTCCCCCTCCGATGTACACTGAAGTGCACAGAGTTTTACTTACCTATATCAGATCTGTCAAATCAGTCAAGCTACAGGACCTTCTTGACGCATTTGTCTTGATTTGCCAGCGGTTGGGCGTCGAAGAAGAGCCAACCTTAAACCTACTCAACCAATACATTGCTGATATCAATATTCAGATATCTCAACAGGGGTTCAAGATAGAGCGGAAAAATGACGAGAATGATGGGTCTACATATTTCATATTTATCAACACCATAGTTGACGAAATCATGAAGGAAAGTTCGATGTACACGACATCAGAGCTTGTTTCCATAAGGGGAATCATTGAAGATATAATTGATGCTAGAAATTTTGCATTTTCAACCACTAGAACTCAAGCACAACAAATCATCAGTGCACATCAGAATAAAGGTATAAAAGACTCGGCTGCATTTGTCGACAAGTTGATTGACGATGGGTGGTTTGATGCAACTTTGAATGATCATTTGATACTATCCGTCAAGAGTCTTTGCGAATTGAAACAGTATTTAATTGATGGGTACGGGACAAGTGAGGATGAAGATGATGGGAAGCTACTTCTTTGTCGACAATGCAAAGAGATTGTGACTATGGGCCTTCTTACGCTGGAAAAGATCCCCTTCCACAGAAAATGTTATGAAGTTTACTGCAGGAATAATAATAATAATAATAATAATGATTTGCAACCTACAGAACAAGGACAGATAAGAGTGGGTCCCGATCCAAGCACTCTATAAACACGACACAATAGAGTCTCAATTATCGTCATCAAAACTATCCAAATACTGTGCCTCAACTTCATCAAGCACATCCCAATACCATTCCTCAATCACCTGCTCCTCGTATCGATCATTCAATGGCTTTACTGGCTCAGGTGGAGGGAATTCAAAATCAGGGCCTGCATTCAATCGAACTGCACCATTTTGGAACGTTGATAACATGGGATAGTACCCCAATGTGCTGTCATCGGTGTTTCTGTATCCCGGATTCTGTTGCTGTTGGACATTTGGCTCAAGATTGAGATCCTCCCGTTCTTCAATATTTGTTGGTAGGAATGAATATAGATTATCAATACACGAATCTTGCTCAACACCATTTTTGAACACTCGTATTCTAGAATTGGCAATTACGGGGATGTTTTTTGTCTTGTCATCCATTTCAATAACTGCTTTTTCACCAAACACGGTGATTGGATTCAATAAATGATCCATTGTCTTTGTTTTTGTGTATTCATACTGATCATAATAAAGAGCACCTTTTGACTTTGTAGGAATCTGGTCTCTGACTATATTATCATGAGCGTTGAAAATTTCATTTTGTTCAACGGTATTTTGCTTCCATTTGGTCTTTTTCTTTTTGGCCTGATGTTGAGTAGAAATTTCTGCCGTTTTGCTCTCCACAAACTCCCTTATCTCACGCTTATGCTCCTTCAACGAGGGAAGCTCGATTAGAAACCCAACAACATCGCCGGTGGTGAACCCATTCTCAACACACACATTCTTTCTTCGACTGATAAACATCAACTCCCCGTCAACATCTCGTATACCGTACCCATACGCATCATAGCCTACTGGTGCTTCCAAACTCGCTTCTCTGCGTGCAACCCCGACCCTGACATGGCTATTTTCGTCGGCATTGAGTATTTTGAACTCAAAGTAGTATGAACCTTCTCTTATCCCCACATTACTTCTAGCTGACCTCCACCCTTGAGGCAGTGTTACTGACATTGAATCCTGGCTAAAGAGTATCCCCGACGAACGATCAAATAGACTGACGCAAGCTTGATATGGCGATAAGTCGGTTGTTGAATAAAAATTTGATGTGAAGAGGGGATTTGGTCGACATAGTTTGTACTTGAATCCCCGTCTGTTCACTGGTAAGTCCTCTACTTGGAAGTAGCTTACACCGTTTACAGTTTGTACTTTAGTCGGTACGGGTAAGGCAGGTGGTGGAATGTCTTGTAGTTTGAATGGCATTGGACGCAAACGCGGTTGAATAATGACATTGTGTTGTTTTGATGTGGGCTTGGAAGCTTTCTTGTTGTTGGGGCTTGGCGCGTCTAGTCTTGTGGAGGTGGATCCATCGTCAATGGCCTGGATTTGTGGCTCAATCGATGGTTCTTCTGAAAACCCTTGCCTCATTGATGAAGACTGACATTTACATCGATTGTTTTCTTTTTTTTTTTTTTTTTAAGCCGAAATTTTTGTGTTGTACTAAAATAGATTGATCTACACTACGAGACAAACTAAAATATACCAATAAAAAAAAAAAACGGAGTAACTATCACCACCAACTTTTTTCCTTCTTCATCTTCTCTTTGCTTCTATTGGTTGCCCTTCCAGTATCATGCAACAATGCCTGACTCTTTACCAACACTTTACCACTCTCATTTTCAATAACACTCTCCAACAAAATATGCTTCTTGTCATTCTCGTCACTAGGTTTGGTCTTTGTTTTTATGATAAGGAACTGATTGGCAAAAGTAGGGCGTTTATAATTGATTGTCAAGTTCTCCACTTTGAAGTCGTCTTTCAAATTGGATGTTGTGTCTTTGGACAATGACGCATTTCTTTTAAACGTTTCATTCAAAAGCGTAGCTATTATCCCACCATGGACTATGAATGGATACCCACACAATCTGTACCCTGCATGAATAATCGATACACCTTCATCGGTTTCTATATTGTGGAATGTCACGGGTTTGATCAAGATTCCACCAGGTTTGTTCAAAGTCCCATTCGTCAACGTTGGCTCATGATATTCCGCTTGGGTCTTGACTGACAATTCCTGATTATCCAACACATTTCTATCAAGATTCTCCCAGCTCAGCAATTTGAACCATTGATGGTTATTTTTCGGATGTGCCAATTTCTGATATATTGGTAAATTCTTCAACTTGTATTCCAATTGCAAAGCTTGTATGTTGACCAGTATTTGCTTGTCGTCAACAGCAGTATACTTTTCATAAAGATTAAACAACGTCTCATTATACGACAAGTATCCTCCAAGTAAAAAAAATGCAGTGGTTGTTTTCCAGTTGATCCATTTACGATTTGGTGGGGATCTGGGTAAATGATCAAATGGTGAGTCGCCGGCCGTTCTTGTTGCTAGATGACGCCTCTGAATAAACGACTTGACCGTTCTTTTGTAAACTATAGCTGGATTTGGCAATTTTGGAGGTGCAGGCATGTTAGGTGTTTTCGGCAAGAAGGAAGTGCCTTTCAAACAGTCACAGATTGGAAATTGATCTCGTTTTGTATTTTTCCCATCAAAACCACAATTTTGTAGAGAGAAGTAACGACGAAAAAGAAAAAGAAAAAAAAAAAAGGGGGGGGGGGCAGAGTGAGTATGTTTACACTCGACGCTGCAATGAAAGAGAGTAAGTTAATTACCCTGAACACTGTCCTCAAGGGTGTGGTTGTCCACTTCCAAAAAAGAAAAAGGGCAAAAAAAAAAATAGAAATGTTAGATGAAGCTAATCAAGCAACGAAAAAAGAAAAACAATGGACGAGATAAGAATCGAACTCATGACCTTTCCCATGCTAAGGGAACGCGCTACCAACTACGCCACACGCCCGTTTTGTTAGTCAACAATTCTTTATGTTAGTTTTGTGGCTAAAGTTTTAGTCACGTTTTTTTGTCTCAAATCTTCATTTGAAATGTCGGCAACACAATTCATGTTGTTTGTTAATGCTTTAGGTGTAATTTTTTGAGCTTTTAGTTCCATGAATGGTTTATTCCCGAACTTTGAAATGACCGGATGATGTGGTACAATTTTGACATTCAAATTGAGCAAAACAAATGCTTCTATAATGAATTTGTAAGCCAAACACTTCACATCTAAGGTATTATGACCCAAAGTTAACTGCCTTTATCTCGCATGTAAGCAAGCACCGACTTCTGGTGGAAAACGGTTCAGGCATTATTTGGAAGGAGTTTGAGTGGTTGCAAAAAAGGTAGCGCAGTTTTGTCGTATACAATTATAGCCTCCAGCTTTCAATGAAACCCATCCCAAGTCAGTGGCCGCTACGTAGCTGCTATGTACCAAAATAGAGCAGCAACACATCCAGTCAGATGACGTAAATGTATACTTTCGACTTTTGCGCTTGAGAATGATTTGAAAGAGCAGCACTATGTTCTACGCACACACCTTTTTGGCTGGAGAGGAGTTGAACCTTTCAAGCACAGCCCTTTTGGCCTCTGCCGTACAAGTTTAAGTAAAAGAACTTAGAAATGGCGTTGCTTCTGTAAAAAGAGAATCTCAAAGACAAAAATCTTTTTACTCATGCACGTTATTAAGAATAGTTTATTCAAAGACAGACAATAAAAATCTAAGCAAGTTCAAGCTAGAACAAAAAAAAAAATGAAAAAATGAACAATAATCTTTTTGTAACTCCAAGCAAGAACAATCGGACTTTTGAAGAGTAAGATACTTGAGTGGCCAGAGTCGCCTCTCTTGCTCACTACTGCTTCTTGTCATAGACTGGTAACGATACGTAACAATAACATATACTGTGTGCCATTGGCCACAAGGGATTTACTGCATACGTGTTATTCTCACCATATTCACTTTGTTCAATCTCTTTTTGTTTATTATGTGTTTTATTTTTAGATCCTTTAAAAATAAAAGCAAAAATAGAATGACCAATAAATTACAATACATTTTGCGGGCAGTACAAAAAGAGAATGACTAATACGAGGGTTATAGTGAAGAGGGGTCTTTCAGGGTTCTCTGGTCAGCCGAACGTTGTAGACTTTAATTACTTGTCCAGGTAGAGTGTGTGACAATCCTGTATTTCATGGACTACTTATGGAGATGTCTAATATTGAAGTTGGCCTTTTCCTGTAGCACTTTGTTTAGTGGCAACGGTGGTGGTTATTGGAAAAGATGGATCATGTATTTACAGTACTTCTTTTGTCATCTCTGTGTAGAAAGAAAGAGCAAAAAGAGCAAAAAGAGCAAAAAGGACAGCAGTACAAACAATAATAATAATTTTTTAGTTCAGACTTTCAAATTCAAAGGAGAAACAAAGAGACAAAAATTTTATTTTTTTTTTTTTTATTTTTTTTGTTCTTTTGCCAACTACAAAATTCTAATTCAATTGCCTTCCTGTTTGTTTTCAACACACACACACATTTTCACACACCCCTTGAATCACACAACTTTTATCATCATCACCATTTAGTTGTTAGTGTTACTCATACATACCCCCATACCACACACTATATTATCACCAATCACCACATTCCCTATTTGCAATAACCACTATCACTACAACCACCACCACCACCACCACCACCACTCAATTGATATACTTCATAATCAGTCACTCCTTGTAAATGGTGGAATAAATCACAACACCGCACAACACATCATCATACACACCACGATATTAGCATTTACACACACATATAAATATACCCAGACGTATACACGCTCCTTACTTCTGATAGACATACCCAAACCCCATTCTATTTTTCTCAGTCAATCATGAGTTCGTCACCGAACAAGTCTGAGGATCTCCCCACCAGAGTGTCCAGCAGAAAGGGAAAAAATTTGCATGTGGCTCATAGACGCTCGCCTTCCGAACTTACCACTTTGATGGTGGAACAATACAACTTACAACGCCAATTGGACCAGGTCCAAGCACAGCAAAGACAAATTTTGGAACAACAGCAACAGCAACAGCAACAGCAACAGCAACAACAACAATACTTACAGCCACAGTTTGAGTACCCACCCCTGTCATCCTCCTCGCACTCTGACTTTCTGCATTCTTCACAGCAGACCACCCACAACAACATCAACCGTGGATCTCACTCTAGATCATCTTCCATCAACAACAACAACAACAGTACCACCTACAACAATTCTCATAGAAGGACAGGCTCGGCAAGTGGAACTGCTCATGGCCACACAAGAAGACACTCTCTAGCACTCAATGAAGCTATTGCCGCAGCTGATCAACAAAGAACAAGTAGACTCAGCTCCAGCCCCGTGCAAGCGGACGCGGCAGCGGCAGCGGCAGCTGATGACCACAAGCCTGGGTCGTTCAAATTTCCACCAGAAAGTAACGTTCCACCAAGTCCTAACAATGCAGTTCACAGCAGATCAAGGTCACTGGCATATGGCCAGCAATCATTCAAGTTCCCTGCAACACCATCACAGGAGGGGGCTAGTGGTACTAATAGCTTGCTTCCTCCAACACCTAACTTTAGCATTACACAGTCTCCTGAGCGTGGGGGAGGCAGCGGTGGTCTCAATCACAACAGAAAGCCCTCCCATTATAGAACTGTTTCTCGCAATTCCGAAGGTATCAATCAAAACTGGAGACAACAAAACACACATTTATCACCACAATCCGGCTCCCATCACAGACAACTATCGGGTTTGGAACCACCTCCAGGATTTGTTCCTGGCCACAGACCTCGTCAAAGCTCTTATGGAGGAGGAAATTCGGTCTCATCCATCTCACAGTTTTTGCCCAACAATAATGGCGGCGGCGGCGGCGGCGGCAGCGGTAGTGGTGGTGGAGCTCAAGGAGGAGGTGGACAAAATACCAGCAACGGCCGTAAGTCCCTTTTTGCTCCTTACTTGCCTCAATCATCTCTTCCAGAATTGATTAATGAGGGTCGATTAGTCACTGGGACATTAAGGGTTAACAAGAAGAATAGATCAGATGCATATGTCTCAACTGATGGATTGTTGGATGCTGACATTTTTATTTGTGGATCAAAAGATCGTAATCGTGCATTGGAAGGAGACTTGGTTGCTGTTGAGTTGTTGGTTGTTGACGAGGTTTGGGAGTCAAAGAAGGAAAAGGAGGAAAAGAAAAGGAGAAAGGACCACAACACTAGACCGTTGAATGATGATATTCACAACGATGCAACATCAGCACCCACAACTGCTACTGCCGCAGGGGGCTCCTCCACCGAGGGGAAAGACGAAAAGGGCGAGGAAAACACATTAGGAAGACGTGGCTCTCTTAAACAAAGACCAACAATGAAGAAAAACGACGATGTCGAAGTAGAGGGTCAATCATTACTTTTGGTTGAGGAGGAGGAGATAAATGACGAGGTGAAGCCACTATACGCAGGGCACGTAGTGGCTGTTGTTGATAGAATTCCTGGTCAATTATTTGCAGGTACTTTGGGTTTGTTGAGACCAGCACAAGCTGCACAAGCTGCTAGAGACAAGAAGTCTGGAAATGAGCCATCCGTGCATACTCCTAAAGCGCCCAAAATTGTGTGGTTCAAGCCGACTGATAAAAAAGTCCCATTGATTGCTATTCCTACAGAACAAGCACCATCTGATTTTGTAAGCAACCATGAAAAATATGCTGATCAATTGTTTGTTGCATCGATTAAAAGATGGCCCATCACATCATTGCATCCTTTTGGAACTTTGGTGTCCAAGTTGGGAAAAATTGACAGCCCAGAGATTGAAGTGGATTCTATCTTGAGGGATAACAATTTTCTTTGCGACGAGTATCCTAATGATACGCTTGATGACGAGGAGCTACACAATACGTTAGAGTTACCACCCGTTGAACCTGAATTGGAGAATGGAAACAGAACTGAATATTTGAATGACTACATTATTGCATTTTCTCCAAACGGCGAGTTTGTCGATCACGCATTACACGTGAAGAGATTGTCCAACACAAAGATTGAATTGGGATTTCATGTTGCAGACGTGTCTTACTTTGTTAAACCAGGGTCACCATTGGATCGTAAGTCAAAGAAGAGATCGTCCTCCGTTTTCCTTCCCCAGAAAGTTGTCCATTTATACCCTCAACAGCTCAACAAATTGATTTCGTTCAAGGAGAATGTAAAGAACTTGGCTTTGTCAGTAATTTTTGAAATTGACACTACAAATTTCGAGGTTGAGGATATTTTCATTCACGAGTCGGTAATTGTGCCTAAGCAGGTTGTCAATTACGACTTTTTCGACAAGATTTTGGGAAACAAACCCGTGGACACCATTTCGTCTGCAACTTCTGACTACATTAGAACATTTAGCTTGATTGCGAAAGAATTCCGCCGCCATCGTTTAGCAAATAGAAGCTTGGGCATCACACCAAACTTGACGTTGTTGGACCAATTGGACGATGAAAAAGTTGCATTGAGCTTGAATATCTTTGACGACAGTTTGGCACGTGATGTCATCTCCGAAATAGCATTGAAGGTGAATTCTGCAATTGCCGCTAAAGTTCAAGTTGGATTGGGAAACAAGGCATTTTTGCGTCGTCAAGGATTGCCCACCTTACAAAAAATTGAGACTTTTGTGCGTAAAGCTACCAACTTGGGATTCAAAATTGATACCACCGATGCAGCCACTTTGCAGAATTCGCTATTGAAGATTGAAGATCCTGTCAAGAGACAATGCGTTGAGATTTTATTGTACAAGTGTATGGCTCGTGGGAAATATTACGTTGCTGGTAAGCAGGATCCCGATAGTTATGGTCATTACTACTACAACTTGCCCTTGTACACCCACTTTACTGCACCATTGAGGCGGTATGCCGACTTGGTTGTTCAAAGGCAATTGAAAGCGGTGTTGCGCAAAGAGGATGAGGAGAAGGATCTTGATTCATTAAAGGCGTTGGCTGATTATTGCAATTTCAAGAAAGATTGTGCTGCCAGTGCTCAAGAACAGGCTATCCATCTCTTGTTGTCACAAACGATTAATGAGTTGAGCGAAAGTGCCGGTCAGTTGTTGTGCATGGGTACTGTTGTACAAGTGTATGAGTCTTCTTTTGATGTTTTCATTCCTGAATTTGGTATTGAAAAGAGGGTCCATGGAGACCAGTTACCCCTTGCTAAGGCCGAATTTGATAAAACAAATAGGGTCTTGGAGCTTTTCTGGGAAAAGGGTGTTGATTCGGCAACTTATGTTCCACCGGACGAAACCACGTCCTTGTCGTATAGAAACTCTATCAAGAACAAGTACAGGACTTCGTCCACGGAAGCTGCTAAGATCCAAAACAAGGCCATTTTGGAGAACAAGGAATCAGGTGAAGATTCAATTGTGGAAAAATTGCGCAAGATGAAATTGGAGCCTCCTAAATTGACGATACCTCCATTGAAAAAGTCAAAAGAGGTGGTGGGTGACGATGCCACCAAGTCGATGCCAAATTCTCCAACACAATCCCACATTCCACACAATGTGAGAACCAACTCTTCCTCACTCATTGATGAGTCAGAAGGATCTAATGGTTTGGGATTGGCTCCATATTTGCAGAATCTTGAAACCAGAGTGGATGGTGACTCACATATTCAAGTTGTTAGGGAGTTGACCGAGGTTCCAGTATTGTTGAGAGCGGAAATTGGTATGACGTTGCCATGCTTGACGGTTCGTGTTTTGAATCCATTTACGTAGTTATGTATATATAATGAAGAATATTTCGGTCTAAAGTTTTGATGACTACTGAATGTATATGTAGTGGTGTAAATGTTGTGAACACTAAACGTCGAAACCGTTTAAAATTAGCGCGCGAAAGCGGTTTAATTAGAAGAAGAAGAAGAAGAAGAAAAAAAAAAAATGGAAAAGAAAATTCCAAACGGAAGTAGAGACCCTTCTGACCTCGACACCTTATTTTTGATTAATCATATAGGACACCTCCTTGCTGTCCCAAATATGTCAGAGAACAAGAAAACTGAAAACGATGGTCTCAAGCGGGACATCGAGTCTGTCAACGGCAGCAGCACGCACTCACCAAGACCCGTTGTCCATTCCAAGAGATCCAAACTCGTTACATCATCGCACTTTGATCTCAACTCTCCGCTACAAACTAGACCTGCATCACCTTTGATTCTCAACCCACCAATTGACTCCGATGGCTTATCCTGGCCGTCGCATGGTGCCAGATCGCGCATCGACCAGACACCGGAGGAGGCAGCAGAGCGGGAGAAGCGTATCGCTGATGCTGTACGTACAATCTTGACTGAGTTGGGAGAGGATACGAACCGTGAGGGGATCTTGGAGACGCCCGAAAGGTATGCTCGTGCCATGTTGTTCTTCACAAAGGGATACGAAGACAATATTCGAGATGTGATCAAGAAGGCTGTGTTTGAAGAGAATCACGATGAGATGGTGATTGTGAGAGATATTGAGATATATTCGCTTTGCGAACATCACTTGGTTCCATTTTTCGGTAAGGTGCACATTGGATATATCCCCAACAAGCGGGTGTTGGGGTTGAGTAAATTGGCCAGGTTGGCAGAGATGTATGCGAGAAGGTTTCAAGTGCAGGAGAGATTGACAAAGCAGATTGCTATGGCCTTGAGTGAGATTTTGAAACCGCGTGGCGTGGCTGTGGTTATGGAGGCTACTCATATGTGTATGGTGAGTCGTGGTGTGCAAAAGACCGGTAGTTCAACAACTACGAGTTGTATGCTTGGATGTTTTAGAGATCATCAAAAGACAAGGGAAGAGTTTTTGACGTTGTTGGGGAGAAAGTGAAAAGCGCGGCAAAAGCATAGATGGTTTGATGTATGTTGCAGATTTAGTTCAACACAAATGGTACGGGCATGGGGGCCAAGTGGTGCAAAGTAATACCCACTTTGCTAACAACAATTTTTTCTTTCACTTTACTTTACTTTTTATTTAATGTGTTACGATAATTCAACTTATACAAACTCAAATACTGTTTATACAACTATATCTTTTCGGCATTATCACCGGCAGTTCTATTTGATTAGTTTTGCCGCATGCAAGACAAGCTTGTCGTCACCGTACTGACCAATGAGTTGAATTCCGATACCATTGAACGGCACTGATATTGCCGGCAAGCCGGCAAGCGAAACAGGCACGGTGAAAATGTCATTGATATATTCGTTAATTACATTTTCGGCATTTTTTGTAGTACTCTCCTCTACTGAAGGTGCCGCATCCATTGCAGTTGGCGATATGATCAAATCACAGCCTTGTTCGTTATACAGATCCTGAAGTAGCGGATGCCTCATTTTGAACACAGATGATAATTCTCTTGTCAACTTTTCACGCAATTCAGTTGCCTTTGCATAATGGTTGCCGGACTCGGAACTTAATGTGTAATTTCCCAATTGTATTCTGCTTCGTACTTCTGGACCTAGGGATTCCGTCCTGTTCTTGAAAATCAATTCCATGGGGTGATCATTGACGTTAAGGGGTTTGGAAGTGTAGCCGTATCTTGTTCCATCGTATCGGGCCAAGTTGGAGGCAGCTTCGGAGGTGGCAATGGTGTAATAAACTGGCAATGCCTTTCTTATCGCTTTAGCCGAAATAAACTTCACCTTGTGTCCAAGATCAATTAAACTTTCCAAAACTTCAATCCATTTGGATCGAACATGGTCCGATACCTCATCAAACAAGAAATGCAGCGGTATTCCAAATGTCAATGGCGACAAGTCGTCAGTGGTCTCCATATTCTTTCTCACTGATTCAGGGAGCGAAGTTGGATCTTTTTGATCCTCCACATTCAAAACATCATACACCTTCTCCACTAAACCGATATCTTTACTGAGGATCCCCACTGTATCTAGGGTTTGTGCATATGGTATCACACCCCATCGAGAAATACGTCCGTATGTAGGTTTAAACCCAAAGACATTGCAATAACTGGCAGGTAACCGAATGGACCCTCCAGTGTCAGTACCAATGGCAAACTTAGAGACATCTCCCGCGACAGCAGCAGCTGATCCACCAGACGAGCCACCAGGGACAGCATTTTCATTGAATGGATTCACCACTGCTCCATAATACGAATTCAAGTTGGACGATCCCATCCCAAACTCGTCAAGATTGGCTTTTCCAATACAAGTGGCTCCGCCATTTGATAGTAGCTTGACGATGGTGGCGTCAAAGGGCGATTGGTAGTTGTATAACGCATGCGACGCAGCAGTCGTGAGAAAATCCTTGGTGACAATGTTATCTTTCAATGCATATGTTGTGTTTGAAAGGGGACCGCTTTGTCCTGCAATTGTACCTTTGGTAATGATACTATTGAACGAATCAGTTCTAGTGGAGTAACTTCGAAGTCGGCTAAATTGTCTGGCCATACTCTGGGCAATAAATTGAATCGTTATCTCAACTCTGTTTCATGCCACATAATTCTTCTCTGGAAAAAAGAAGCCCCCCCCCCCAAAAAAAAAAAAAAAAAAAAAAAAAAAAAAAAAAAAAAAAAAAAAAAAA